TAATTTAATGCAACGGTAACATCACTATATAGCTATTTCGTTTTGGAAAAAAGATGAAATATATAGTCAAATCATGGTAAAATATGAATTTTTTTTAACCATTTTGGCATGTGAAATACCAAAATACCCCCTTCACACTTTTCCACTAAAATTCTAGAGTTTCTACTTTCTAGAATTGATTTTTGCTTCAAATAATATCTTGAATTTACAATTAATTTATGAAATTCCAGAATTATTCTCTAAATCACATAAACAATGTTTTGAATTCTACAATCATTATATGGAATTCTACAAATGATTAATTATTCATATACTTCTACACAAAACGTTTATATATTTAGCTATAAACCCAAGGGACTGCTTAACTTACTTAATCTCAATTGTTATTCAAATATCGAGCGTGCGTTGTCTGTCGTTAACGAATGTGTATATGCCACAGGTTACTCTATTTGCGGTGCATTGCGCCGGGTGCTTCAACTACCTAATCGCAGACAGGTATCCGGAGCCGGAGAGGACGTGGATAGGGGCAGTATACCCGGGTTTCAAGCAGATGAGCCTATGGGACCGTTACGTGACGGCCATCTATTGGTCGATTGTGACACTGACGACGACAGGCTACGGAGACTTGCACGCAGAGAATCCACGAGAGATGTTGTTCGATATTTTCTACATGCTCTTCAACTTGGGCCTCACGGCCTACCTCATTGGGAACATGACCAACCTCGTGGTCCATTGGACTAGCCGCACCAGAACATTTGTATGCACTCTCTCTCTCTCTCTTTCTCTACTTATACGCTTAGATCATTGAAATAAATATTAATTTAGGTTAAGTGGTAAAAATATTAAGTAAAAATATTGTATGATCAAATACAAAGATTATTTAAAATGCTAATCAATATATATGAAGCTTATACTTTATTCATGTTTTATTCATAATTATCATTATTTAATATAATGGCAATTTATTTATAATAAGAAGTTGGTATAAAACGGACACTAACATCTAAGTGGCTCAATATACGTCAAATTTCAGTGTTAAAAACTCTTGAGGGAGAGCTTTGCCGCCCTTGTGGTCCTACTCGGCTCGATTCTGGATTAGTCGGTTTCCCTGTGGATCCGAAAACCGAAAGGTCCCTGTACCAAAAACAAAAATAATATACGTCAAATTTGGTTGTACATATATAACACAATCTTGGTTTCAAAGTCTACCTTACTTGGTAAGGTCCACCATATAATTTTTGTGGCTCATCTAATTAAGTGGAACCGAAAGTTCGGCTGTTGGATTAGCTGAGGTCGTTTGTGATTAGCACAAAAACAGCAACGTCCATTACACGTAATAATTACATAAATACCCTTGGTTTAATTACTATAACTCCATCTATATATTCTTTAAGATGTACCCACTACCTAGACTTGTAAACCAGCTGAACCCAGCTCGAGCTCGAGCCCTCAGCTAGTTAAATAAATGAGTTTGAGCTCGGCTCGTTTTCCAATCATGATAAAATGCTGAATTCGAGCCGATCGCGAGTTTTAACTAGCCGAATTATAGAAAATTATATAAAATTTCTCTTTTCGAGCCTTATCGTGCTTCGACTCGTTATCCAAACGAACTTTAAATGAGCTTGAGTTGAGCTCGAATATCAAACGAGTCGAGTTGAGCCGAACCGAGCCAAACTCGTTTAATTGAACAACACTGCTGCACTACCCACCAATCGTGTGTCATATCTCATAATTTTTCTAATAATATATTTATTGTGTATGGTATATTAATTTTCTGCTACATTTGTTGAACTTTTATTAAGGTGATCAAACAATACCTTTTTATTCAGTGGTAGGAGTTTGTGCTTTTTGACAAAAAATGAATCCAGATTCTATCACATATGCCTGCATATGTTCCCCTCCCAATTGTATTCCTAAAAGAATAATATTTAAGAAGTATTTTTCCTACTAGTAGAACGTCCGTGTATTACACGGGTGCTTGCTAATTTTTTTCTTAAAAAAAGTAGTTTTTATGAAAATATATATATTATTATATATTTAGTATGACATTTTTTATTTGTGCAATTTACATGTGTTATATTATAATAATTTTTTAAACTTACAACATATAACTACATTAAACATAAATATATCAATTGAGAAACAATTTTATTTTTCTAATGAATTTTAATAAATATTATATATGTAAAATTGATAAGAAATACAAAAGTTATCAACTTTTTAAATACATTTATATTTCAATAGCTAATTGAAAACAACAAATCAAAAGTCATGGATATATTAGTCATTTAGTGTCTCAGTATGTAAAATTACAAAGAAATAAAGGGTTATATTAGTACAACTGATATAAAATACCTAAGTTAGCTAAATAATATTTATGGAATGTGCAAACCTATATTATTAATTTATATCAATATTATTTGTCCAAACCTAATTATGAAGCATGATTCTTTGCCAAGTAAGATTCCGAAACATCAGAAGCAGCCACGTAGGCTCAGCGCATTCGAGAATAATATATAGGGAGGATGTCTCAAAGTTATTGTACGAAACAGGCTAACCATCACGCGACTTAAAACGTATATAACCTTTTAATAAAAATATACTAGTACAACACTTGTGTATTATATGGGTGCTTGTTAAAAAATTATTCTTAAATATTAAAATTAACGAAAAAAATTATTTTAAATTTTAATTACTTGTTTACACAATATTTTATATTATTATATATTTTAGAATGACATTTGTTACTTGTGCGACTTACTTATATCATATAACTACTTAAGACATAAATATATTAATGGATAAATAGTTTTATTTTTCTAACTAATATTAAAAAATAATTTTATTATTGTTATAAAGATAAATATAATTTTTTTTTATTTCTATATAATATTGATGTTAAACCGAAACTCATCAAGAGCTGATTAATTTGATATATTAATAGAATTTCTGATATTATACATATAAAACTGATAAAAAATACAAAAGTTGTTAGCTTTTAAATACATTTACAATTCAATGGTTATAACAACAAATGATATTACAATGCAATTAATACATGTAACATGACCATAAATAATCAACATATTTATGGATGATTCGAACATTATTATTTTAGGACGGGAAGTAAATTAAAATCTACCTAAGCCTAGTAACGAAGCATGTAATTTTATCGCTTAGGATCCCGAAGCATGCGAGTCTGCCACTTAGGCTCAGCACATTTTAAATTAATATATAGTGGCTTGAAATTTTATTTTGTTTTAGAAATATGTCTTTTCATTTTGAAAGTGTACACATTGTCTAACCAAATAGGTCTGGCTGAGTATATAATAATTTCATAATAATATTTATATTTTTAAAAAAAAAACAACATAAATAAACATTTCATAGCATAAGTGTTCATTTTTATTTTTTTTTAAAAAAAATATGATTAATCGACCCACCTTGCGATTAGACCTCATGCAGACTATTTACCATTTGCGCACAAAAAGTTTAAATATTCTTTTGATTTTGACCCTGCAGAGAGACTCCATTCGAGCAGCATCAGAATTTGCTAAAAGAAATCAGCTGCCCCCAAGAATACAAGACCAACTTTTGTCCCACATCTGTCTCAAATTCAAAACAGAAGGGTTAAAACAGCAAGAGACCATCAATGGCCTGCCGAAAGCCATTCGCTCGAGCATCGCTCATTACCTATTTTACCCCGTCGTTCAAAATGTTCATCTCTTTCAGGGAGCATCACAGGATTTCCTCTTACAGCTGGTAAATTGTTTTGCGAAATTTTACGCCCAAATAAACATACAATTTTCTCATAAATGCAAGTGTTATAACATTTTTCGTGCTTTTTTTTTTGGAAGGTTCCGGAAATGGAAGCTGAGTACTTCCCCCCAAGAGAAGACGTGCTGTTACAGAATGAGGCTCCAACAGATGCATATATTCTGGTCTCAGGAGCAGTGGTAAGTTCAGCACGAATTCTTTTAGGCTAAATTGCATTTTTAGTCTTCTTGGTTTAACACCGTAGCATTTTTAGTCCCCATGGTTCTAAGTTCTAACATTTGCCCCTTTTGGGCCCGTGATTTAATATTTTGCTGCAATTTCAGTCTTAAAAAAGACTGAAATTGCAACAAATTTCCAAATTTATAGATTTTTTATTTGCAATTTCAATCCTTGCAGCAAAATATTTTATCATATGACCAAAATGCAAAAAGTTGAAACTTGAATACTAGAACTGCTATGACATTAAACCAAACAGGACTAAAATATGCATTTTTTGCAATTCATTTATGAGGTGACTTAACCATTTTCAGGTTAATAAAATTACGACGGTCTAACCGTTAGGTCTGTCTGCCAGCGGTCTTACTCTAAGTTTAGATGCCTAATTAATTCATTAACAATGTAACATCACACAAAAATTCAAATAAAGGTCTAATCAGTAGTTTGTATTAGCTTTTCCTGCCTTCAGTTTCTAAATTATCTTCTCTTGGCAGGACTTTGTTGTGAAGACAGATGGACATCATGAGGTAAAATATTTTCTACCTTAATAGTCAAATCTACATTAAATCTCAAACAAATAGAACTATAGAAGGATATATTGCAAAAGCATCTCATAATCTTTAGTTCTCTAATGCAAACACAGATCGTGGGGAAAGGTTCGGCCGGTGACATTTTTGGGGATATCGGTGTCTTATGTGGAAAACCCCAGCCGTTTGGGGTCCGAACGACCGAAATTTCTCAAATACTAAGGCTGAATAAGAACACTTTCCTAAATATTCTTCATGCAAACCCAGAACAAAAGCGGATCGTCATGAACAATCTTTTTTTGGTAAATACTAGCACTGTTTGACTTTTTTTTTTTTGGGGCAAAACTCAAAAACTCAATAATTAGTTACCTTTTTTTTTCTGCAAGAAACTGAAACTATACAATAGTTTCGAACTTGAGGAGCACCAAGATCCGGATCTGATCCTCAAGAATTGGCTCGATAGAGATCAGGACAATCTGCATGAAGAAACAATTAATCACCAAATGGGTGCAAAAATTGCGAATTATTCAAAATTTGTGGCGGCAAACCAAACAGAGAATAGTGACGATATCAAAGGAAGTGAAATTGACGTGAATATAACCTCTGAAGATGGCCAAACGGCTCTTCACGCTGCCGTTCGGCAGGGGCATCTTGAAATGGTTCGATTTCTGCTCGAAAAAGGAGCAAATGTGAATAAACCAGATGATAAAGGTTGGACACCTAAATGCCTAGCCGAAAAGCACGCAAACAAAGGTCTATACGAGGTCATAATAGATCATGAAGCTAAAAGTTACAAAATACCCACAAATGTCAGCTCGAGCAGTTGCAAAAAACCAAATAATGTTCAAGTAATGCAATCGGGATTAAAGAAGAGGGTCACGATTCACGTGAAGTGTCAAAAGAGAAAACACGCAGAAAATCAGCTCCCGAAGCTCATCATTTTACCTGATTCGTTAGAAGAGTTAATCAAAATAGCAGGTACACGAGTAGCTTTGAATTTCGAAAAATCGAAACAGAGCTTGCAATGGCTTTCACAGTTTAAAGTGCATGATTTTTAACTTTTGATAGTCTTTGAGAGAAATTTCAAGAAAGGCAAAAAAAAAAAAAAAAGGATAATACTTAACCTGGTAGTAGATCACTATTATCTGATCATGCTTTGTGAATCTGCAGGTGAAAAATTTGGAGACGGAAGTCTTACAAGGTTAGTAAACACAGAGGATGCAGAAATAGACGACATAAGTGTCGTAAGAGATGGCGATCATTTGTTTCTAATGTCATGCCCGTATAGAAACAGATAATGATGCAAAGCTAATAAAAAATATTGGAATAAAATCACAACATACCCATGAAAATAAAATTCATCCGGCATTCTAATTTGCTAACAGTCGAATCATGAGACAGATATGTAACTTTTGAGAGTACAATGGGAAAATTGTATCTAATTTTGTATAACTCCACTGTCAACTGTAAATAAATTGGCAGGATCTTCTGCATTCCACTGCCTTTAAATCCCAGTATGTAACTTTTAGTACACAATAAAGTACATGGAAAAAAAAAGACTTATTGAAGAATAAGCTCAACAGAGCAAAAATTCGAATGCCTTTCTGCAACTTTTTAACTCATTCGTCAAACTTCACCCGCTTCGAGGACTGATTTCCTTAGAAATGCCATGTGAGCCAGTCAAAATTTGATTTCTTTTTTTGGTGAAATTCGGGCTGATTTCAGTCAAAGTTTGAATTTTTCACGTGAGAGCATCATTTCTTCGGATGGGAAAAGGATGAGCTTCTGTGTTGAATACATACTTGTCTAACGGTAAGACATTACTATCGCCAAACAATAAGTAGAGATACTTTAGTGTTTCGCCCAGGAAAAAAGTCTCCATCTTGTCTCTCTTGGGTGGGGGAACTACAGTTACATCGTTGAGTGAAGTGTAACCTCCCGAGTCAACCTTTGTGTGTTCTTCGAATGCCTCAAAAATCTCCCAACCCCACTCACGGTATCTGCACATATAATGACAATAATCGAACTCAACGCAAGTGAAAAACGAAAATAGTAAAATAAATAAAAATAAGCACGAATTAGCAAATACAGATCTCTCAGACAACGAGACTATTGATTGTTCATTCCTTTCTTTAAGTAATAACTAATAAATACCAGGAGCGCACAAAATTTGGTAAACCGAGCCGAACCGGCCGAAACCGAAACCGAGTATTTGGTTCGGTTTTCGGTTTACATTTTCTTAAACTTTCGGTTTCCAGTTCAGTTTGAATGATAGTGATGGGTTAACCGAACCGAAAACCGATTTATACATACGCACATATATATAAATACACACACACACACACACACACACACACACACACATATATATATTATTTATGCATATAAGTTATAAAAGTATAAATTTGCTTCAATGATTGATAATTTTCGAGCTTCAATGACCCCTAAAATGGCTCAAACGTTAATTTGCACTCAAGATTGGCTTCGTCATAGTCCAAGACATGGTTCGGGTCCTAGATCTTCCTTAGATGAGAATTTAGAATTTCTTGAGAAGATTAAACAAGGTGATAACAAATCAAATTTTTTGGTTCGGATAAAAAATCAATTTTTTTGGTTCGGTTAAAAATTCGGTGTTGACCGAATGAGCAGCCCTAATAAATACTATAATTAAAATTAACGATAACTTTCCGATAGATAACACCACCCAACATTAACCATAGTACATACTTGGGATCTTCGGTGATGCGGAACATATAGAAAAGTGACTCAACAGTTTCGGGGCGTAAGAGATTATGACGATCAGCTTGTTTTATGATGATATCTTCAGCATACATTGAACTCTTATTCCCACCACCAGCGCCATCTTCACTATGCCCCTGCACAAGGTAAAATAAATAAGAGAAAAATAAGATGACTATATACAATGGAAATTAAATGATAGACAACAATGGTAGTACCAAAAAAAAAAGAAAAGAAAGAAAATAGAGTTCACCTCGGTCGTGAAGTACGCTATTTCTGGAGCGAGACCAGTTGAAGTTACTGAATACATCTCGTAACATGTCTTAGTTAGATCTTCGGCCAGTTTCAAATTTTCAAAATCTTTAAAATCGAGCAAGTTCTCTCTCATTGCCTTCTCTTTCAGCATGCCCTTTGTGGCACCGAGAGCAAGAGTGCCCGGGAGGAAACATACCTATGTATGTATGAACAAACAGAACGCGTGTAAGTAGAAAGAAGAAAGTATTAAAATTGTCCTCTATTTGGAAGCAAAAAAAATCAACGACTGTGAATTGCTTATTAGCACCTAAACAACGGAAAAAAAACTGTAGTATTCAGTCAATGAAATGGTTGGGCCATAATAACTGCTTGATTTATAAATGACTTTAGTTAACACAATAATATTATGAACCTAGAAATAATAACATATTAGCTTATTTGTAAAATAACCATAGTTGGCAAACAAAACAAATAAGCAACTTACCAGGTGATCCATTTTTGGACTGAAGTCACCTTGAGCACCATAAGGCAATTCTCCTACAAAAACCAATCCATTGGGCACAGTTTTTCGAACGAGAAGTTCCTTCACACCTTTCATTGCATCTTCGTACATCTCGTGCAAATAAGTCAAATTGCTTCCTAGATTTTGAAGCCAAACTTTTATGAGGTACTCATAGTAGCTATCGCCACGAGATCCAAGCCTAATATTTTCCCCACTAAACTCCCCAGTATGAGGGCTGCAATAAAGAAGGAAATCAGTTGTTATATATTGGTAAGTAATTCGTAACAATATCCTTTTTGAAGTAAATAAGTGCGACACGATGCAACTTATATTTTCTTAATATCCACCTACAACTACATACATGTTAAATTATTATCTTATCCGATCCATGCAAAAAAAAATTATGGTACAAAATCATGATGCAACACATATTCTGTTATCATACATCGCACTAACGGCCAGATCACTCATCACAGACATTATACACGGATTGCAAAATATAAAGCAGCCAATTCTAAACCAAAATCACATGTTGCCAAGATGATTAACCAAAAAGAGGAAGCAAGATAATTAAAAACTAGCAACCGGAAAAGCTAGACTGTAATAAGTATGTGACATCCACACAAAGTAGCACAAAACCCATTTTGTTATCCTTACTTGATATATATAGGAACCAGCCCTTTGACTTTCTGCAAAGTCTTCATGTGTTCCAAAACTTTCATAGACTCAACTGCGTACTTTTGATCGCCAGTCAAAGCACTCAGATAATTAAACTCGAGCTGAAGAGTAGAAACTTCGGCCGTGCTGCTTAACCCATCAGGCGCAGGATGTGCAGTGCTGTCCCTCAGAACAACATCGCTGAAGGGAATAGCAGTTGGGCTCGATGTGAAAGCGATTATGAGACGATCAGCCAATTTCTTAGCATTATCAAGATAAACAGCCGGATTAGGCTCTACAGTTGAAGCATTACCACCATTTTCACCCCCACTCAAATGATAAGCACTCAAGAGACCTCCCAGAACGCGTATTGTTGTCTCGAATAGATTCACTTGGCCTCTCTCGTTAATTTTCTCTGGGAGATTTTTCTCAATCCATGATCCTGCTTCATGGGCAATTTCGTCTATTCCCATTATCAAAGCCGTGTCGAGAGCATCTATAATGGTGGCTCCTAAGCCACCTAAGCCGTCAATTCCCTTCTTGCTTAAGGGCATAAGCTCATCATATCCCATTGAGAAGTTGCGATATCCGGACCATGCGTGAATAAATGCCTGTTTGACCTTTTCTTGCCTGGACTTCCAATCGGGCCCAGAATCTATCTTGCCATGACTTGTCTTATTCCTACTGAGTATTTCATCGGGCGATAAACGAGGGGGAAGCCTAGGAGGCTTTGGCCACAATCTTCTGAATCGGCCCTTTTCGTCTGTGAAGAAATTGTTACCTACTTCGGTCCCGACATGTTTGGCTATGCCTTTCAACGGAGAAGAATTGTTGTCGCTTGTTTGTGTCAATATAAGGTATGTAACACCAAAAATCATCAGAATCACAAGAAACTTCCCTGTACTGCACTTTATACATTCACGTTTTACATTATTGGTTAAAATATTCTGCGTGATCACCTGGAGAA